TCCCCAAGGCTTCACTCTCCCTCCCAGGCTATTCAGCAGATTCTGTGCCTAAGGAAGTTATCAGATCAAATACTTAGCAGCTCTTGAGGGGCTTAAGGTAGGATAGGCAAAGTGGGAAGAAAGAGAATTTAATTGTCAATATCATTGCTCACATCCACATGTCCAAAACTGACCTCATTATCTTTGCCCCTCCCACTCCAGGCCTCCTCTCTTTTTAATTTTCCTATTATTGAAGAGGGCACCACCATTCTCCCAGTGAACCAGGCTTGCAACCTAGTTGTCACCCTGGACCCCTCACTCTCTTTCAGCCCCATATCCAATACTTCCAAATTCTATTGATTCTACCTTCTCTCCTCTGACAATGCCCCTACTCTGTGCAGGCTCTTATCACCTCACCTCCTCAATACTAAAGTGGTGGTCTCCTTACCTCAATTCTCCCCCAACTCTAGTTCATTCTCCACTCAGCTGTCAAAATGATCATCCTGAAGCTTAGGCCTTACTACGTCACACCCCACCCCTCCATTCCCATTATCAGGGGGCTTAGGGCCCTGACATGCCCCTTTTCCTTGGGTGGAACAGGGTCCAGAGAATTACATCCTCTTTCCAAAGAAGCAAAATCCCTGAAGGACCCTTTCTCTAGGGGCACCACAACTTATCCCTAGCTGCCTAGGAGCTATGTTGCCCTTCTGTCCAGGGCTACATCCAGCTATGATCTCCAATAGGCAGTGCCTGCCTGCTTCTTACTTAGGGAATAAACTTCCATCCAGGACATAGGGTCTTCTTCCCTTCCTCTCCCCAGGGTACCCCAGGGAGAGGAATGGCATTTCATTTTGCTATTTGTTCCTCCTCTTCCTTTTGCCCAGGTGGCTGCCACAGCCCTCTAAAGAGCAGAGACTTTGGGGCAGCTAGGTGGTGCAGTGCATAGAGCTCTGGCCTTGGAGTCAGGAGGACCTGAGTTCAAATACGGCCTCAGGCACTTGACACTTACCAGATGTGTGACCATGGGCAAGTCACTTAACCCCAATTGCCTCACCAAAAAGCAGAGAGAGAGAGAGAGAGAGAGAGAACAGAGATTTTGTGGTTCAAAAGTCCTGGCTGCCCCTGGACAGTGATAGCAGCATCTTCAACTACAGTGTTAAGCAAGTGAGAAAGTGAGTGAGAAAGGACTGGGGATGTAGAGAGAGGAAGCAATGGACTTTGGGGAACAATTCTTAGCACTTGAGGAAAATTGCTCTCAGTCCCAGCAAAGGAATGGGAGAGGATAGCCCATGTTTCTTGTTGCCCTCCCCACCACAAAAGCTTCTACAACAAAGGACTTTGTCCCTGCTGGTTGCTTATCTCACCAAGACCAATGGGAGCAATGGTTCCACATGTCTCTATTTGTGCCAGAAAGACTGGGAGTGATGAGGAATGGAAGGGCAGAACGAGGCCATGGAGGGTCAGTACAGAGACAAAGAGAGCATTGGTGTACAGACCAAAGGAGATGATGGAGCAACCAGGAGTATTGTGGCAATGGAGTGACTATATATAAGGATGATGGGGGATGACAATGTAAGGGGGGGGATGTCAAACAGGGAACAAGAGTACTGCAATGATGAGCCTAATAGGAGTGATGAGGCACAAGGACATGACACGACTCTAACTAAATGAAAGGGAGTAATAGGCTGTTTGGATATAGCTAAGTGAAGGAGTTAAATGACATAATTGGGGGTATATAACAAGATAAAAGGGTGTGATGGGGTCATAGGATGTAATAGGTATATCCAGATGACAGGATATAATGAGATGACAGTATGATGGCTGCCTGTGATAGAAGCTTGATACTTAAGTAGGTGGTAGATAGAGCATCCTAGTTTTCAGCCCCTAAGGTGAGTAGGGTAATAGCAATAGCCAGAGTCACATGGGACCCACAGCATATGCCTATGGGCAGGAGACCTGGGAAAGCAGGAAAACCCCTTCTCACGTCACTGGGAATTACTTGACCCCTTTCCCTGTGGCCAATGTCTCCTTTTATTCAGAAAAATATATGTGACTGGTTATAAAAGCCATTAGCTCAATTGGCCCCCAGATACCACATCTTCCTTTGGGAGAGGCAGGGATGAGGGAGCCAGAAAAGACTGGGCTTGGGGTTTGACTTTTGTTGGCTTCCAGCCCCCACTTCCTGAGGGCCCTTTACTCTGATTGAGTCAGCTTCTAACTGTGGTGGCTCTCAGGGCAACACTGAGGAAAGTAGCCTGTCAGAGGAATAGCTTTGTCATGGCAGTGACCCTGAAGAGAAGCCCTCCCCCGCCACAAGCTTCCTTCTGACAGCCCTTCCCACCATCGGCAGACCTGAGTTTTTTGTCCCTGGCTAATCTTAGAGATCTGCCCCCAACTAAAGCACCTTTTTTATTTGGAGCAGCTCAATCCCACAGACCTGAGCCCTAGGTAACCCTTCTAACCCCTAAACTGTAACTACTTCAGGATTTCCAACCAAGGTGGAGCCATGGTTGGAGTATTCACTCTAGTGATACCCAACCTTCCCCCCACCCCCAACACACAGCATAGGAAATTATAGGAAATAGGGCCCAATTCTGCCCATTAACCCATCCTTAGCAAAACACCCTGAAAGGCACAAGCGAGGGTCTGCTCAGCTGATAAGGGAATGAGAATACTTGAATGATAAGATATCCTTGATTCCTGATCTATCTCAGACTAAGTCTTGCTTAAGGGAAGTTGAACGAGGGCAGTGTTGATTTTTTCTGTTTTTTGTTTTTTCCTTATCTCTTAGGGCAAAACCCTAGAATATAGGGTTTGGTTCAGTCAGGGTAGGCAGTCCTCAGTCTCAAACTCACAAATATACCTACTCCACCACTTTGCCAAACTCAGCCTGGGCAGCTCTATCTGCTTTTGTCCCTTTCATTGCCTTGTTTTCTGGCCCTGACCTTGAGTCTTTCTGTCTCTTTTTCCTAACACTCTGCCCCTGACCTTGGGAGAAGTGGGGAAATTTGGGTTGGGTTGGAGGAGGACAAGGCATTTAATAGCTTCATTCCTTTCTATGTTGCATATTGACTGGTGTGTGATTCCCACATATCAATGAACCTTTTTGGTATTAGCGTCTCAGTTTGTGTGCATAGGAAAGGTGAGAGCAGAGGTGGGGGTTAAGTGTGTGAAGCTGTGAGTGAAGGAGAAGTCTTTAGTCTTGGTCTTTGAGGCTTCACATGGAGCTTGCAGTGTCAAGCTTGGGTTCAAACATCCCTCCTCTTCCCATCTCCAACAGCACTGCTTTCCAAGTGGAGAAGGAAGTAAAAGGGGGAGAGAGAGAGAGTCAGAGTCAGAGAGATAGAAAAGACAGACACAGAAACAGACAGAGATAGAGATGGGGTTGAGGTCTCTGATAAGTCTTCTGTGGTTTGCCATCACTGCAGAGGTTCCCTCTTCATGGCTCCAACCTGATCCCCTAGGCCTCCTCTTCAAGCCCCTGCATTGGCCCCAGCACTCTGCAGAAATAAGCCTTGTCCTTACCTTGCTACACCCTCCATTCTGTGCCTGTCTTCCCAGCTATAAAAAAGTAGATCACTCCTATTTCTACCTCCACCGGGGAATGGAGAAAGGAAGAGGAGGGTTTCTGGCAATAACCATAGGTTCCCATCAATTATTTTTTTTGGTGAGGCAATTGGGGTGACACAGCTAGTGAGTTTTATGTGTCTGAGACCAGATTTGAACTCAGGTCCTCCTGACTCCAGGGCTGGTGCTCTATCCACTGACCCACCTGGCTGCCCCAGTTCCCATCTATTGAGATACTTTGATCTTCTTGTGGCCCTGTGTTCTGTTATGTACATGCTGAGGTAGAAAGCTCTACTAGGGTGAACATGGAGACCTGTCCCCAACAAACTTTAGTTTTCTAATTCTAGGACCCCAAAGGAGGGGAGTTAGCATGGTTTCTATGATCAGTTAAAAGGAGGCTCCCAAATTCCCTACTTCTTCCCCAGAGTCAGGGCCTCCCCATTATATAGTTCATAGTTCCTCTGTCTGGGTGACTTACAAACTTACATTTCCCATTACAAGCTAGAAAAGTCACCATTAGCCCTCCCCAGCCCCATCCCATACACAGTAAGGCAAGAAAGAAAAGGGACTGAGAACATGAGGATTCCATCCAGTGACCCTGGAGAAGAAGAGCCCTTTTTCATCCTAGTATAGTGGGAACAGAACTAGTTCTGCAGTCAAAGGGCCTGGATTCAAATCCTGACTCAGATTCTTACTGTCACTTAATTTTTCTGGACCTCAGTTTTGGCATCTGTAAAATAACGGGATTAGACTAGATGGTTTCAGAAGTCTCTTTCAGCTGTAGAGCTCTAATCCTAAAATCAGACTTCCACTCTGGGATGAGAGTATAAGAGGCATAGAGGGCAAAGGGGGCATCTTTCAGAGAAGGTGGGCCCAACCGCTGTTTGCAGCTACAGAGGACATCAGAGTTTGCTCAGCAATCCACAGTCCACCCTAGTGAAGCACCAATGGCTAGGGCGGGGGTGAGAGTGGGTGGGAATGACACCAGGGTAGTTTCCATGAAGAGGTGATGAAGGAGTGATGAAATGGAAGCAATGAACTAGAACGTCTGACTCCTGCCTCCTCCCAGGTAATGCAGTAATTCAAGCGAAGGGGAGAACAACCTTTCTGGGCCTGCGTCTGGGCTCCCCATTTCCTATTATCTAGATCTCCCATAGATTGAGGTGTCCCAAGGAGACCTGGGTCAGGTGAAAGAAGCCCCCTTCAACTACACCTTCTTGGTGGTGGTGGTGGTGATATTGTGAGTCTTCTACTATCTCTCCAGGGTGTCACACAGTGGGACCCAGGCGGCAGGGCGGGGTGAGATTGGGGGGAGTTAAACTCCGGGGATTGGGTAACGGTTCTGCAACCTCTTGTCCCTTTGAGTACTTGCACAAGTGGCGCCTGCGGAGGGCGGAGTGGAGAGTCCAGCCGGGGCGGGGACAACACAAGTGGGAGGGCTGGGGCGGGCCCAAGCACTGGGGACTCGAGCTTGGTGCTTCAAGACGCAGGCTGCAACCGCGTCGTGTGAATGAACTGAGCGGATTGCCGCGGACTGAGGTGAGGACCTGCTGCCTCTACTCTCTTGCCCCCGATCTCTCTCTCCCTCTCTCTTTCTCTCTCTCTCCCTTTCAAGAGTTCATGACCACCCTAGCCCTCTTTCATGGGCTCCTCCTTTCCAAGATCTCAAAGCGTGATCTCAAGGGCGAGGCGCCCCTCTCCGCCTCCTGCAACTTCTTCTCTCCCGCCCCCCGACAGTTGACCCGCCCCTCCTTTCTCAAGACCGGACTCTGCCCTCTCCTCGCCCTTTCCCTTCCCTCTTTTTCCCCCCCCCCCCCCCCCCCCCCCACTGGCAATCTTGCCCCGACTCTGACCACTTGGTTTCCAGTCTTGTGCCAGGCAAGGGACTGAGTCACAAGGGAGAAGGGGAGCTTGAGTCAGTGTCCAGCAATCTCGACTAGGGGTGGTCACCCATGGCATGGGTACTAAAAGCGGGATAGGATAGAGTCGAGACAAAGGGAGGAATAGGAATGGGACGAAAACAGAGATAAAACCTGAGGAATGCACAGAGGGGACAGGCATGAAGGAAAGTGTTCATTTCATTCTGAGTGTGGTCTTATGATGTGCCAAATGGGATGAGGGAGATACCCTGCGGATTCCTACGCAAAGAGGGTAGTGGGACTGACAAAGTCAACCCTACCATCACCCACCACTTTCTTTCTCTCTCTGGCCCAGCCCTGACATGTCCGAGTTTTCTGCCCAGCCTGGCTGGGGCAGGATGTGGGGGCGGCTCTTTGGTGAAGGGACAGGAAGGAAGTCTGAGTGGAGACAATAGGTGGAAGGGGAGGAGGAACTGGAAACTGGACAGCAGTGTTTTGGGTTAGAGCTGCAGAGACCTGTGGGAATGGTCTCTTCCATTCCTGACTCCTCCTGATTGAGACTAGGCTAATCACTCCCCGTTCTACCCCACCCTGATTATGTTGACCCTTCACCTTCCTCTCCCCTGGTTCCAGGCTGCTTCTCTTGGACCAGCTACCTCATCTCATGGCCCTCAGTGACCCCAGCCCCCTCCTGTGACCTTGGTCCCTTTCCTCACTGCACAGTGGCTTTCTAGGGTTCTAGGTATCTGCTTTCTCAGTGATTCTGTGTGGTGTAATGGAAAGAACACTGAACCGTGAGTTAAAGAAACGTGGGTTCTGGCTCTGGCTCTGCCACCTATTGGATATGTGATCTTGGGCAAGTCACTTAATCTCTTTGGGCCTTCCTTTCCTCATTTGTAAAACAAGGCGTTTGGGCCAGATCCCTTTAAAGTCTCTTCAAGCTTTGACAATTTGTGAGCTCTGTGTCTCCACATTCCCTGTGTCTACATCCCTATAGCTTTGCCTGATTGTGGTTGGGGGAGGCTTGTGGGATTTGGATTAGGTCTCTTCTACCCCAAAGCTGAGAAGGGTATATGAAGCTTAGCTTGAGCCCTGTCCACCATCCCCACCTCTACCCATTCTTTTCCAGGCAATGGCCTGAACTCTCATGGAGTCACCCAGGGACCTGGACATTGAGGTCTGGTTGGCAGGAGTACATCTAGAACGGTACGCAGATACGTTCCGGAGGCACGGTGTGTCCACTGCGACTGCTGCCCAAAGCCTGGGCCACGAGGAACTTCGTCGAATGGGCATCTGGGCCACCGGTCATCGCAAACGGATTCTTCGCCTGCTTCAGGGGGCTACTGTGGAGGTCCCTACAGACACCCCACTGGACACTACCATGGATCAAACCCCAAACCCAGATCCTCAAGTGCTCCCCACCAAACCAGTGCCCAAACCAAGGACAGTGTTTACTTTTTTTGGCACCACTCCTGCTGAATCAGTCCTGCCTCCCTTGTTGAACCCTCCTATGGAGACCCTTCCAGTGCCTCAGGAAGAAGATACCAGCCTAATAGTCCAAGATGAAGGGAGCATGGTCCCCAGGGGTTCAGAGCAGCCAGTGAGCCAAGAACCTTCCCTAAGCACCCCCCAGTCTCCCATTTCCCCCTCCTTCCCTTCAGATCAGCCTCCTATCTTGGACAGGATGACCATGATGCCCAATGATATCTACTTTGGCCTAGACCTTGGAAGGGGAGCACAACCAGGGACTCAGGAAATGTGAGTGGGTTAGCAATCAGCTGAGGAAGGAACCAGAAGATCTGGGATTCAGTAGGGGAGGGAGAAATAAGGGGGAGGGGGAGAAGGCAAAGCATTCTATCTTTCTTCTCTCCCTCCTTCCTCCTTGTGTTACAAGTTCCCTTCCATCCTCAGGACTACAGACTGCTCCCTGGTAGATTCTCCTACTCCCATCCCTACTTCCAGACCTACAGGAGGCACAGGTCAGTAGAGGACCATGAGGAGGTTGAGGGGAGGGTTTTTAGAGGTGGGGATTCACTATAGGCATCTTACTATTTGACTTGTCTCCCCATCTCTATTCCACCAAACTCCAGTGCATATCATGGACCCTAGCAGCCTGTACTATGGTGTTCAGCCTGTTTCAGTCCCTGGAACTCCCAAAGGGAGGAAGACAAGGGGTGTCAGTCAGTCAGCAGGTGAACCCAGGTAAGTGATTTGAGGAGGATCATGAAAGGTAAGATATAGAGGAGACATGGAAAGGAATATTGGGGAGAGATTTAGAAGGATTGTAAAGGAGATTTAGAACAAGTAATGAGGGGAGGAATATAGCAGTCATGAGGAGAAGAGATGGACTGAATTGAGTTAACTGGTTCACACCTCTCCTCTACTTTCCCTAGGCCAAGCAGCCATGAATCAGAGGGGGTAGAGGATTGTGGCTATGCCAGTCTGGAGCTGCCTGGGAACTCCACCCACTTGATGCCCATCCTAGACCCTGAAGAGCCAGGCGATGATCTTATCTCTCCCTATGCCAGCTTCACCTCACTAGCTGATCCCCCCACACCCTTGCTCAGTGGCTGGTTGGACAAGCTCTCGCCTCAGGGGTGTGATTGGAAGGGGGTGATATGGGGGACTTTGGAAAGAACAAAAACCAGGGAGGAGTGTGAGAAGGGGAGGGAAGCCATAAGAGAGGAGAGGTAGGAATTAGGAAGAGGGGATGGAGGGTGTTGGTGTTACAAAAATGACTTGAGAAGGAGGCAGTCTATCCCTCTAACCCTAAGAGACCCCCCCCCTTCCACTTCATCAGAGAGTACCTTCCTGTTGCCTACCCTGGGCCCTGGAAGACTGATTCCTCCCTCCTCCTTTCCCCCAGGAATTATGTCTTTCAGAGGCGTTTTGTCAGGTTCAATGGAAAGAAACTGATGTATTATGGAAGTGACAAGGTGGGTTTGCATGTATGTGGAGGGTAGGAATGGAGTACAAGGAGGCTAGGAAGCTCAAGGAGGGATGCTAGGTTATTAAGGGACCTGAAATTTGGGAGGAAATCTGAGAGGAAGGAAATGAGGGTATTAAGGGGAAATAGGGTCTTCCTGGGGTGGTAAGACCAACCTGCTAGAGTTTGTTGACTCTGAGTCAATGCTGATATCTCCCCAGGACACCTTCCCTAAGGGGGTTATCCCATTGACTGTCATTGAGATGATCCGAAGCTGCAAGGATTGCAAGTTCCAAGTCATCACTAGCCAAAGGGTGTTTGTGTTTCGAGCTGAGAGCGAAGGTGAGAGGAGGGGCAGTGTGGGATAGGAGGCAAACGGGCAGACCCACTGCCATCCAATTCTCTTTAATCCAAAAAGCATTTATTAAGGATGTACCATGTGTAAGGTGAGAGGTAGCATGGAGGGCTGGCCTTGGCATGAAGAAGACCTGGGTACAAATCCTGCCTTTGACAGGCTGTGTGATCATGAGCAAGTGACGAACCTCTCAGTGCTCCAGGAAATTCTCTGACTTTAAGTTGCAGATGATTTGTTGACTTTCATCTGTGGAGAGCATTTCCATACCAACAGTTCCATACTTTTATGAAATCACAGGTCTGACCAAAAAAAAAAAAAAAAAGACTGCGAATCACAGTGCTAGGTACGTATGATATAAAGACAAAAACAAAAAACAGCCTCCGACTTCAAAGAACTTATGTTCTACCGATTATGGCATGTAAACATAAGTAAATTCAAGATAATATGAGAAAGGAAACAGCAATAACAAGGGTATCAGGAAATGCACTAGATGGCCTGAGACTTGATGGAAGATAGGATTTCCAGAGGGGGAGAGGAGAAGAGACAGCATTCCAGGCATGAGGACAGCCTGGGCAAAGGCATGGATGGAGATGGGAGATGAAATGTCAAATGAGGGGAACAAGAACATAGGACACTTTGGACAGAACATAGAGTATACAAAGCAGAGTAATACAAAGTAAATCCAGAAAGGTAGTCTGGAACCAGATTGTGAAGGGCTTTAAATGACAAAACGAGGAGTTTGTGTTTTATTCTAGAGGCAATAGGAAGCCACTGGAAATTCTTGAGCTAGGAAGTGACATAATCAGAATTATGCCTGAGAAATATTATCTTGGCAGCTGTGTGGAGGATGGATTGCAAAGGTTAGAAATAGAGAGCAGGAAGGAGACTTTTGCAATAGTCCTCCCCAGAAGAGATAAGGAATTGAACTAGGGTGGTGGCAGTTTGAATGAAGAAAAGGGCACAGATACAAAAGATATGGTGATAGTAGAATTGACAAGATGTGGCCACTGACAGTATGTGGGCAGGGGTGTGATGAGGAAGAGGGGGAGGTTAGGGATAAGTCTGAGGTTGAGGTTATGAACCTGGGTGACTGAAAGAGTGGTGATGCATTCAACAGAAGCAGGATAATTTGGGGGAGGAACAAGTATAGAAAGAAACAATGATTCTATTTTGGCCGTGTTGAATTTGAGGTGCCTTGGAACTCTCAGATGGAGATGTCCACATATTGCTTCAAAGTGCTCTCTTAGAGGGTGGTCACGTCAGTCACAAACCCAGCTCCACTGTTCTCCTGAGCATTATCTGCATACTCCTCACTCTATGATTCAACTTCTCCAACACTCATCCCCATTTGCCTTCAGCTCAGAGGGACAACTGGTGCTCCACACTGCAGTCTCGGCTAAAGGAGCAACGGCTTCTAGGCAACCCCCGGCCACCTCATCCACCCCGTCCTCTCCGCACAGGGATCCTAGAACTTCGGGGACACAAAGCTAAAGTGTTTGCAGCTCTGAGCCCTGGGGAGCTAGGACTGTACAAGAGTGAGCAGGTAAAGGGGAAAGATGTAGCATAAGGGACGGGATGGAACCTGAGGTGGCACAGGCTGGATGGAGCCCTTAAGGAGGGTACTGTCCTCCAGCTCCTGAGCTCTAGATGGCTCTCTGATACTTCTCCCTCAACTCTCCACCTCTTTAGTCCTTTTCTCTGGGCATTGGAATTTGTTTCATTGAGCTTCGGGGCTGCAGTGTCCGGGAGACCAAGAATCGAAGCTTTGACCTTCTTACACCCCATCGATGCTTCAGGTGGGGATACAGGGCTTAAGTCTAGGATGGGACCTTCAGGTGGGGGTACAGAAGCTGGAATTCAGGGAGTCTTTGCCCTTCTGAATAACTCAGAAATGGGACTTCCTGGTGAAAAGACTTAGGGGAATTAGTGAGAGGGGTCAGTATCATGTTAGAAGGGTGTCTAAGGGGGCTTATGGATTCTCAGAATCAGAGGGGGGCTCAAAAACTATATAGTCCAATCCCTATTTGAATAAGCATCCTAAGACATATCCAACAGGTAACCATCCAGTCTTTACTTGAAAGCTTTCTAGTGAGGGAGAGCCTTACCACCTCCAAGGCCATCCACTCCTTTTGCATAGCTCATGATGAAATTACTAATAGCTGCCTCCAGGGAGCCAGTGGAAGCAGGAGGGTCTGAGGATGGATCTGTAGGAATGTACAAGGTGGGTCCTGATCTGCTGGCTCAAATATACCCCCAGCTTCACAGCGGAGTCAGCCTGTACTCGCCAGGTCTGGGCATCTGCACTGCAGGAGGCCATTACTGAGACTCTGTCTGACTATGAGGTGGCTGAAAAAATCTGGTCCAACCGAGCAAACCGACACTGTGCAGACTGTGGAGCAGCTCGTCCTGACTGGGCCTCAATCAACCTGGGAGTGGTCATCTGCAAGCATTGTGCAGGTGGGGAATGCTGGGCCTAGGGATAGAAAGACTGAGAGGGCAAGGCAGAAGTAGCAAGGGGATGACTCTGAGGAGGGGAGGGCAGTAGGAGCTCTATCTCCAAGGCTGGTAGTGTTCAAACCAGCCGCTTTCCTATAGGACAACATCGGGCCCTGGGCTCTGGGGTATCTAAGGTGCAGAGTCTGAAACTAGACACAAGCATCTGGAGCAATGAGATCGTGCAGGTAAAGGCAAATGGCGAAAAAGCTGAAAGCAGAGGTGGTTAATGGAAGAGGTTGGGTGGCCCAAGAGAGGGTGTCTGAAAAAAACCAAAAAGGATTTGGGGTATCCCAGGGAGCTGGAGATCTGTGAAAACGGGCCCCTGTTGGAACCAGTCATCACAGCCCCTTTGATCTCCTTCTCATCTGTCAGCTTTTCCTCATCCTGGGCAATGATGGAGCCAACCGGTTCTGGATAAAGGGACTGCCCCCAGGAGGAGGGCTGCATCCAGATACTCCCCCTGGCCCCCGTGGGGACTTCATCTCCCGCAAATACCGGCTTGGCCTCTTTCGGGGACCCCATCCTCAGTACCCTGACCACAGTCAGCTGCTGCAGGTAGGAGGGGTAGGGAGGATGGAAGGGGTCAACTTGAGGAGGGCAGTTTGGGGCTGTCCCTTAGACTCTCTGGGTTTGGGAGGGGGTGATAGCTACAGTGGGAGGGGATTGATGGCTGCCCCCTCCTTCACCCAGGCACTGTGTGCAGCTGTGATGGGACCCAACTTGTTGAAAACCATGATTCAGCTTTTCTCATATGAGGAACCGTGCTCTGAAGGCAGTTTCTCTAATCTCCTCCCCCTAGGTAATCCCTTTCTGGTGACTTCCTAGGGACCCTACCTCCAGCCCTCTAGGTCAAAGCCCCTTGCCTTTCTCTAACCTTGACATATCTTCCCAAATCCTCCCAGGACCTCTTCTAAGTTCCCTCAGTCCTGGATCCTTCCTTTATAATCCCCTTGGGTCCCTCCCTACTACAGAAAAATCTGGAGTTTAAATAATGGTCAGTTTTATATAGGCTTCATCCATGCAGAGTTGAATAGAAGGGGGCTTGAGGGACAAGTAAATGGGACTTGACACCTCATCAGCCCCACCTCACATTCTACCCTCCATCCCAGACTTCAATTGGGTGGGTGGGAAACTGAAGAATCTGGGACATGCTCCCATTATGATTGGAGCTAGGTAACTTGGGCTCACACCATCTACGCTGATCTCCTGACCTAATCTCTCCCCCCACCCCTTCCAATGTCATCCTTCAGACTCATCCCCTAGTGTGTACAATGAAGTCCTGGTGCCTGCTGCACTAAGTGGCTTTTTGTACTGCAGCCCAGTCAGCAGCAAACCTGGACCTCCACCCCACCGCCGGGGCCGGGATGGTGAGAAAGGGGACCTTGGCAGAAGAGTTGGGGGAAGAACAGAAGTGGTTCTGGAGGGGGGCCTGGGGCTTGTGAACACTTAATGCTGATGGGGAGGAATCTATACTGGGAAGGCTTATAAAGAAATGTTTAGAATGGAGGATACTGCCCAATATGTGGTGCCTCCCCCGTTTTTGCAGCACCCCCTAGGCTGTGGTGTGTGTTGGGAGCAGCCCTGGAGATGTTTTCATCAGAGACCAGTCCAGAGCCAATCAGTTTGATCCAGCCTCAGGATGTGGTGTGTCTGGGGGTAAGCCCCCCACCAGTTGACCCAGGGGACCTTGACAGGTAGCCCTCCAAGTACTTTCATAGTCTTTTCTTTCTATCCTCCCATCTTATAGATCCTTCTTCTTCTCTGTAATTCTCTCTGCTTCATTTCCCCAACTCTATGCCCCTAGGTTCCCATTCTCCTTTGAACTCATTCTGACTGGAGAAAGGGTCCAATATTTTGGAACTGATGGAGCTGATAGTCTGGAGGCCTGGACCAGAGCAGTGGGCAAGGTGAATCAGAGCTGAGAGTTCCCTTCATGATACACCATTACCTTTCACAAATTCCCTTTCCCCATCTCCAGGGCTCTCAAGCCCAGGCCTGTGGCATTCCCAAGGAGATGGTTAAGTCCCACCAACACCTCCACAACAACATCCCCTCTATCTCTATTCCCAGATAAACTAATTGATGTTTCCATTTCTTTCCATTTTGATTTTTCTCTCCTTTGATTTTTCTTCATCTCTCCCTGTACTTCCCTGTCTCTCCCATCTTTCCTCTTTGATCTTTTTCCTCATCTCTCCATGTTTCACTTGATGTCTTACTCTGTGTCTCCTCTGTCTATGTCTCTACTTTCTCTTCACCTGCAGTGGTTCTCCCCACTAAGCTGTCACCAGCTCCTGGGCCCTGGCCTGCTGAGGCTAGGCCGTTTACGGTTGCGGTCCCCTTCTCAGACTGCAATGACCCCAGGCCTCTGGCTGTCTGCCTTTGGCCTCCTCCGAGGTGACCACCTATTCCTGTGCCCAGCACCAGGCCCTGGCTCCCCAGCTCCTGAGGACACTGTGCACCTGAGAAGACTGCAGGAGATCAGTGAGCTAGGGGTGGGCGGGGTGGAGAGGGAAGGAGGAATTGAGGGGAGGAGGGACTAGAGGAAATGCCCTAATCTTTCCTTTGAGGGTCACTTAGAGGTCATAAGGGGTCTCTCCTCACTCTTCTCCCTACCCCTTCTAGGTGTGGTATCTGCAAACGACAGCCCTGATAAGAAAGACCATCTAGTCCTGGTAGAAACAGGAAGGTAAGAGCCCTTGAAGGAGCTGATCCTGCCCACCCCACCCCCAGCACTGGCTGTCCCTCTCCAGCACTCTGGCCTCATCTTGTGGCCTTGCTTCTGATGACATGGCCTGGTTGTCTCTGTGCACTCTGCCTCCTCTTCAGCTCTGCAGCCTGATCAGATTGAGGTATTCCTGCCCTCTGCTGGTAGCCGGAGGACTCAAGTCTAAAAATGAGCTGTCCAAAAATGGATTGGCCTGTCATAGGAAGTAGTCACTTCCTCATTGCTGGAGTTTACATTACAGTAGACACTGAATTACCATTTGTTAGGGATATCATGTGGAGAGAGTCTCTTGCTTAGCATAGATGGGCACTGAGGTCCCTTCCCACCATTAGATTCTAAAATTCTTTGGCAACTTGGCTCAGTAGCTTCACACCACCCGTCATTCTATACTGGTTCCCCTTCATCTGGCTCTGACCCAAGTCTCCTTGGGTCTCAGGACCCTGTATCTACAGGGAGAGGGGCGTATAGACTTTGCTGGCTGGAGCACTGCCATTGGAGGAGCAGCTGGAGGGGGGGGCACAGCGCTGCAAGGGCAGCAGATGAGTCGAGGAGACATTCCCATCATTGTGGATGCCTGCATCAGCTTTGTCACTCAGCATGGTGAGGAGGGACAGAGGGGAGAAGGAGACAGCACAGGGAGTGGTTCTATAGAACTGAGAGGGGAAGCATCCCTGGCAAGTAGGCTCTGTTAACTTCATCCAGTGCCATGAGTAAGAGAGCACTATCTGAGGGGCATGGAGGATTAAGGGTGGGTACTGGGCATGTAGAGGAGGATAGAAGATAGTTGAAGAATGAAGACTAGCAACTTTGAGATGTGAGAAAAAATAATGGAGGATAACAAGGTGCAATGAACTGTGACGGGCCGTGTCTGTAGGTCTACGTTTGGAGGGTGTATATAGGAAGGGGGGTGCTCGGGCACGAAGTCTCCGGCTCCTGGCTGAGTTCCGGCAGGATGCACGGTCAGTGAAGCTCCGGCCAGGAGAGCACTTTGTGGAAGATGTAACGGACACACTCAAACGCTTCTTCCGGGAGCTGGATGACCCTGTTACCTCTGCACGTTTGTTACCCAGATGGAGGGAGGCTGCAGGTAACTCCAAAGACCTCCTAGGAACTTGCCACAAGCAATTCAAACCCTTCCAGGATCCTCCCTCTTCACACTAATCCTTTCTCCATCTGGAGGTGGGGGTGGGGAGGTCATCCAAGTATATGACTAAGAGATAAACCTAAGTCATGCTTAGTTGTATCTGAACCCTGGTGTAGAGGAGTTTATGCTCTGGAGTGCCCCTAACCCCATCTCTACCTTATGTAAGTCCCTGCCTCTAACCCTAGTCTGTCTTCCAATTTTTACTTTCCCCAAACCTCATCTTCCTCTTTTCAGAGTTACCCCAGAAGTCTCAGCGGCTAGAGCGGTACAAGGAGGTGATTGGATGCCTGCCCAAGGTCAACCACAGAACACTGTCCACTCTCATTGGTCACCTCTACCGGTCAGTCTAGCACAGAGGTTCCCAAACTTATTTGGCTTATCGCCTCCTTTAAAAAAAAATTACTCAGCGCCCCCCTAGAAATCTACTTTCTTTAACCCTTTAATGGTTTTTTTTGACATTTGCATCATTTTGAAAAAAAATAAAATATTAAAAAGACACATCTTAAATTCTAATAACTTGTAAATTTGTGGGTTTTTTCCTGCATTGAAATTTTAATGATGAAACCATATAATATTGTATTGTAAACAAGTCATTACACACATATATTCTTGCTGGACTTCCTGACAATGCCCCACAAGCTTGCCTGCCAACACTTGCTTGTTAAGACCTGTCTGTAGACTTGAACACTAATCCATTATAACTTGCATTTTGTGTGTTCATTTGAAAAAGAATGTAATCCCTACAACTTTAACTCTATTACATGACAGATGAAACATGTATAAACAGTTTTTCAAAATTTTCTTCTCTTATCTTTTTTCCTTATGCTTCCACCACCCCCTTATTTTTATTCAGCGCCCCCCAACTGCACTAGAGGCTACTACTCCTCCAGGATGTGGTATCTCCCACTTTGGGAACCTATGGTAGCCCAATGTTTCTTCATCTCCCAAGCTGACCTCACAGTGTTTTTAACTCATTGCCCATAATGGTCTCTTAAAGGACTCCTGCCATTGACTTCAGTCTAACAATTGGACTATGTTAGTGGTCACATTCCAGGACTCTCATGCCTCTCTCCCAGGGTGCAGAAATGTGCAAGTCTGAACCAGATGTGTACTCGGAACCTGGCCCTGTTATTTGCACCAAGTGTGTTCCAGACAGATGGGCGAGGGGAGCATGAGGTTCGGGTGCTGCAGGAACTCATCGATAACTACATATCTGTCTTTGATGTAAGGAGGAGAGACTTCCCAACTCCAGTGACTCTTTAATCCATTGACATTGCACATCCTCAGTCTCAATGCCTTTCAATCCTTCTCCCCTTCACCAGCCCTCAATATCAATAGCCTGAACTGCCCCACATCAGTGGCCATCTCTTTTCTCCCTCCCTGAGGCCTGTAACCCTTCCTCCCAAGACCTCACCTTTGTGACCACGCTGTTGTGACTGTGTCACTCTGGCCTTGTTTCTTTTCCTATTTATATGTTTTATTGATGCCTTTTTGTTTTTATGTCATAGGTATTTCCAGATACTTCTCCTTTCCCCCATCCTACCCCAATGGCCTTTTATTGTGACCAAAAAAAAAAAAAAGAAGCAGTTATGAAAAACCAAATTCTGACAATATATACAACATTCTTAACCAGTAGTTCTCCATCCCTTAAATGAAATTAGGGATGTACATTTCATCTTTTCTGATAGTCTCCTCATTTCTACCACTCTCACCCCACTGACCCTCAACTGCTAATCTCTGACCCTCCTCATCCTTCATAATAAACACATTCTGATTTTCTCAGGGCTTCTAGGTGGAAAGGTAGGGAGCTAGGTGGCATAATGGGTAGAACCCTGGACCTGGAGTCAAGAAGACCTGAGATAAAATCTAGCCACAGATACTTACAAGCTGTGTGACTCTGGGCAAGTCACTTAACCTCTGTCTGCCTCAATTTTCTCAGCTATAAAATGGGGATAATAATAGCATGAACCACCCAGGGTGGCTGTGAGGATCAAATGAGATAACATTTGTAAAGTACTTTGTAAACTTGAAGTGCTATATAAATGCTAACTATTATTATTATTATTATTCCACCACCCAGAAACTTTCTCTATTAGGTTTCTTTATGCTCCCATAGTTCCCCAACACTTCCCAGTGTCTCTTACTCTCCCACAGATCGATTCAGACCAAGTGGCTCAGATTGACCTGGAAGTCAGTCTCATAACTACCTGGAAGGATGTGCAGGTAAATCGGCCCAGATCCTCACTTATAGCATTGGGGGGCATCAAGAGAAGATGCTGAGGGGCAGCTGGGTGGTCCAGTGGATAGAGCTCTGGCCTTGGAGGCAGGAGGGCCTGAGTTCAAATCCAGCCTCAGACACATGACACTTATTAGTTGTGTGACCCTGGGCAAGTCACTTAACCTTGATTGCCTCACCCAAAAAAAAAAAAGATTCTGACTCTCTGGCTAAATCAGGAGACTCTTCCAAAATTCCCCTCTGGATCCCTTCCCTATTTTCCTAGAACCTCAAGATGTGGAGTTCTCTCCTTCCCTTTGACCCTCTGACCCATCCCTCACCTCAATCTCTATCCCACTCTCACCCTCCAATCTATAAAGGCTTCAAGGGATTCCAAATGATATACTCAACTAATTCCCCTGTCCCTGTCCCAAGTATAAGGGCCAGGAGGAAACTAAGCAATGTGAGTAAGTATGGCCAGTGATCTGAAGCAGCAAGAGGGGGCCTCTGAGCTTGACCATTTATCCACACCTGCTTCTCTACTCTTCCATTGACTGATTTCTTCCCACCCCACCCCAAAGCTGTCACAAGCTGGAGACATCATCATGGAAGTGTACTTGGAACAGCAGCTACCAGACAACTGTGTCACCCTGAAGGTCAGTCTTGGAAGGACTGGAAAGGAAACAAAAGGATGGGAGGAAGATTGAGAGCTGCAGCCCTGGCTCTTGCTATCTTTCTCTGGCCTCAGGTTTCCCCAACACTGACTGCTGAGGAGCTGACAAATCAGGTACTAGAGATGAGGGGAGCAATAGCTGGCACAGACCTGTGGCTGATGTTTGAGATCCGGGAGCATGGAGAGCTTGGTGAGTTGGGCTCTGATGAGGACTGGCCATAGGTGGGAATGCATTCCAGGCTATGGGCTCCTCTAATCTCTATGCCTTACCTTTCAGAGCGGCCCCTGCACCCAAAGGAACGGGTTCTAGAACAGGCCCTGCAATGGTGCCAGCTCCCTGAACCAGGCTCTGCTTCCCTGTTGCTGCGCAGGGTCTCCCTAGCCCAGGCCAGCTGCCTCTTCACAGGTGAGGCCAGCCCCCTTAATCCCTTGTTTATCCCAATACTACTTGTGTCCTCTCCCTAACTAGACATAGAGTGTATAGTCCATCCACAGAGCACTGAACCACTTATCCTTGAATTATCCCACTCTCCCCAGTTTCCTTGGTCCATCACTTGCCCATCTATGCCCAGGTGTGCGTCGGGAGAGTCCTCGGGTGGGCCTGCTTCGGTGCCGGGAAGAGCCCCCCAAGTTGCTAGGAAGTCGTTTTCAGGAAAGGTTCTTCCTACTTCGGGGACGCTGCCTATTGCTGCTCAAGGAGAAAAGGGTGAGTACCTCTGGGATAAGTCATCTTCAGATCACCATAGCCCCATCCCAGAGATGATCCTCCATACGCCCCTGAGATGATTCTACAGTCTTCCCCACCTACCCTTGAAATTCCAGACACCATAGGACTGTGGGCTTGGAATTGGTAAGGTCACCTTGGGCAGGGAGGAGGTGATCCTGATCATTTTGTCATCCTCATGACCTTTCTGATCCTGGTTCCTCATGGACTAAATGACTTCCCTGACCTTGTCTCCAGAGTTCTAAGCCAGAGCGAGAATGGTCTTTGGATGGTGCAAAAGTTTACCTAGGAATACGCCGAAAGCTAAAGCCACCAACACCGTGAGTCACCTGAAGGCCTTGTCTTCTCTCCCATTCATACGTTTTCACACCTCAATTCATCCCTCTTCTTTTTCCTCAACATTGCTCTCCCTTGGTTCCTAGATGGGGGTTTACACTGATCCTGGAGAAGCTGCAGCTGTGAGTATCATCATTTATTCCAAGGCTTCCTTCCAATTTTTTTCCTCTTGCTCTACCTGTGCCGCTCTCCTCATTCCCTTTCTCTCCCTTATCTCTTTTCCCCTTTGACTCCTTTTACTTCATTCATTACCTTCTTCACTGTAGACTGACAGAGGGTAAAAATGTCTGGCTGCTACTGCATACCCCAGTTCAATGTCTTTGTTCAGCCACTTTCACTCTCTCTTTCCTTTTCTCTCTGACCACTCCTCAGCTACCTGTCCTGCACAGATGAGGATGAGATGTGGGACTGGACAACCAGCATCCTTAAAGCCCAGGTAAATAAGAAGCTGAGATGAGGAGGTGAGATTGTGTGCCCCACACTACTCTTCACACACTCCTTGTGAGCTGGCTCATACCCACTAATATCTCCCATGTCCCTGCCCAGCATGATGATCAGCAGCCTGTGGTCCTTCGGCGGCATTCCTCTTCTGACCTAGCCCGACAGAAATTTGGCACAATGCCCCTGTTGCCTATTCGAGGTGATAACAGTGGTGCTACCCTGCTTTCTGCCAACCAGACACTGGTATGACCCCTCCCAATCCCTCCTTAACCAAGTCCCTATACTCAAGACACAGTCTCGTTCCCCCTGCCCTTGTTCTTCACGGCCAAGCTTTGCAAGCTCAAGGTTGGGGTCAATCTACTCACAAGGGGACAGGGTTAGGGCAGCATCTCACCCTCCAATGAAGTCCACCATCCTCCATGCCCACTCCCTGCTCAGTGTCTCAATGTTCCTATTCCCCCTGCTCTGCTCTCTGCCTGTTGTTGCTCATTGTGTCTTTCCCACTCCTACTGCCTGTGCCCAGCGCCGACTGCACAACCGGAGGACGCTATCCATGTTTTTTGTGAGTACTGTGCCCCCTTCCCCCAATGCCATGTGCTCTCCTGTGTTCCTCTGTGCCCACCCCTGAACAGGGGACCGCTATGTGCTCCTGATGCGCTAAACATTGGTTGCCCTGTGAAGCTGGGAGCATGGTTCTGGGGGGGGGCGGAGCTACTAGGGCATTAGACTATCGTGACAGAGGGG